CACCCTTCTCTGTACTAAAAACTATCCAATACCCTTTGCAGCTCCAACCGTCATCCCATCGTCTGGAGTGGTCTGCAGAAGCCTCGGGCGCTGGTGCTCTATCCGCAGAAGGACTTGATGGTCTGGACCGACTGGGGTGAGGAAGAGAGAGAGAGAGAGAGGGCGGGAGAGGGAGAGGGAGAGGGAGAAGGAGAGGGAGAAGGAGAGGGAGAAGGAGAGGGAGAGTAGGGGAGGGGGGGGAGAGGGAGAGGGAGAGTAGGGGAGGGGGGGAGAGGGAGAGGGAGAGTAGGGGAGGGGGGAGAGGGAGAGGGAGAGGGAGGGGAGGGGGGAGAGGGAGGGAGGGAGGGAGGGAGGGAGGAGAGAGAGAGGAGAGGGGGGAGGGGGGGGGAGAGAGTAAGAGAGAGAGAGGAGAGAGAGAGGAGAGGGAGAGGGAAGGGAGAGAGAGAGAGAGAGGAGAGGAGAAGAGAGGAGAAGAGGAGGAGAAGAGAGGAGAAGAAGAGAAGAAGAGGAGGGAGAGGAGGAGGAGGAGGAGGAGATAAGGGTTGGAGGAGGGAGGAAGCAGGAGGAGGGAGGAAGGAGGAGGGAGGGAGGAAGGAGGAAGGAGGGAGGGAGGGAGGAGGAGCGAGGGAGGAGGAGCGAGGGAGGAAGGAGGAGGGAGGGAGGAAGGAGGGAGGGAGGGAGGGAGGGAGGGAGGGAGGAGGGAGGGAGGGAGGGAGGGAGGGAGGAAGGAGGAGGGAGGGAGGAAGGAGGAGGAAGGAGGAAGGAGGGAGGGAGGGAGGAAGGAGGAGGAAGAGGGAGGGAGGGAGGGAGGGAGGGAGGAAGGAGGAGGGAGGGAGAGGAGGAGAGGAGGAAGGAGGAAGAGGGAGAAGGGAGGGGGGGAGAGGGAGAGGGTGGAGGGAGAGGGAGGGAGGGAGGGAGAGAGATTGAGGGAAAGAGATAGATAGAGAGAAATACTATGCCAAAGAGATTCGGAACTCACCGATAATCCATCGTCCACCATCTCTCCTGCAGGTGAAAACGCGACGATCGAGAGCGCCTTCCTGGACGGGTCTGGTCGCCGGGTGATCGTGAGAGATGGGCTGCAGTGGCCCAACGGCATAACGATGGACTACCCGACGGAGACCATCTACTGGGTCGACGCTCGGCAGCACAAGATCGAAGCGGCGCTGTTGGATGGTTCGAACAGGAAAACGGTACAGTGGTTGAAACATTTTCCCCTCGGGCAGAACCTGGCAGTTGTCGAAGTTTCTCATTCGATGTGGTTCTAAAATGTGGTGAATAAGAAATGCTTACACACACACACACACACACACACACACACACACACACACACACACACACACACACACACACATATATATGTACATATATTCATATATATACACACACACACACGTGTGTGTGCATACATATATGTATATATATGTATGTATATGTATACATATGATAATGATAATAATAATAATAATAATAATTATGATAATAATATTGATAATAATATATACCACATCAGTAGGATATCAATAGTCTGTAAAACCATAAATACATCAACAAACGTAAATTTAGATATCAGTTAAAACAATATAGTTATAAAATAAAACAACAAATCGACACAGTACGATTTATTCATTTATTTATCTTTAGCGATACAAGATAACGCAAATACAATAACACAAACAAGCCTTACCCTCAATTACAGATCCTGGAACGTAGTCTCCCACACCCCTTCGCCATCACGGTGTTTGAGGATAACCTGTACTGGACGGACTGGCGTACCCGTTCCATCCACATGGCCAACAAGAGGACAGGGAGAGACCACACCACTATCCAACAGAGCCTCGCCTTCCCTATGGATATCCGCAGGTGGGTATTCGAAGGGGAATGCCGTTTTCTGTTGGTGGTGGAGTGGCAAGGTGGTTGTTTTATCGTAAAGTGTTATTGGTATTTAATTTTTGTAAATGTAGGTTTCGTGATATATATTTTTTACCTTTATTAGGGGGGTCGTAGATCGAAAGTTGTTATTATTATTTGGGTATTGTACACACACACACACACACACACACACGCGCGCGCGCGCGCGCGCGCGTGTGTGTGCGTGTGTGTGTGTGTGTGTGTGTGTGTGTGTGTGTGTGTGTGTGTGTGTGTGTGTGTGTGTGTGTGTGTGTGTGTGTGTGTGCACCTATTATGGGCCTACCATATATTAAATAGATGGTAGGCCCATATAAATATGCAGATATATAGATAGGCCTATATGAATAGATAGACAGATATATAGACATACACATAAACATTCCTCCTCCCCCTCAGCATGCACGCCGAGCGACAGCAGATCCCGAGGGAGCGCACCGGCTGCGCGAACAACAACGGCGGCTGTTCCCACTTGTGTCTTCCGGGACAATACCAGCACGCTTGTTACTGTCCCCACGGCCTTGCCCTTCTCGCTAATAAAAGGTAGGTGTTTTTTGCCTTCGTTGTTGACTGCTTGCTAAGAGGTTTATGAAAGTTGGGTTATGAAAGATGGGAATATTAGGGATCCCTTGTCTAAAAGGTAGAAAATAAAAAATAAATGTTCACTCGGGTATTGTTGGTCAGTTGTCCGGAAATATGTGGTATCCTTATTATCAAATATTTTGTAAAACTTTATTTCTTTGTGTGAAATTTGCTTTTCATACTCTTAGATTCTCTCCAAGTTTTAGTTCCATGTTGCATAGTTAAGAAAACAGCAACAAAGGAGTTACCCCGAAAGTGAAGCAAGAAGAAGCGAAATTAACGCGTCCATTTGCCTCATAAAACTGTGAATCATCATATTACATAATTACGGCATTCAAAAGGAAATTAACCCGGAGGTGAAGCAAGAAGGAGGAGGAAAATGCACGCGTCCATTTGTCTCTCGAGGAAAGTGAAGCGGAAAAGAGTAAACAAAAAATTTGACGTCCTCTTCTCCTCCCTCAGGACGTGCAGCGATCGACCTGAAGACGTGCTGGTATTCGCCCAACGCAATAACCTCCGCATGATTCCTCTGAACGGGACTCTCGAGGACAACCTGGCAAGGACGGACACGGTCGTGCCTGTGGACGGGGTGGAGTCCGCCGTGGCCCTCGACTTCTACACCGAGGACGACATCATCTTCTGGACGGATATTGAGGCGAGGACCATCAGCCGAGCGCATCTCAACGGCTCCTCGCAGACTATGGGGGTCAGGAACGTGCTGGGTGAGTGCTCTCCGGACCGCTCTCTCTCTCTTTCTCTTTGTCTCTCTCTCTTTCTCTTTCTCTCTCTTTATACGGAGTTCCTCCTCTATTAACATCGGCTTTGACATTTCATTTTTAATTAACCTACAAACGTCCACCACGAATATAAATCTTAAAGCCAATTCCCAACTTCACAGAATTGCCTGGGGGTGTGGCTGTTGACTGGTATACCGATAAGCTTTACTGGACGGACGCTGGGACGAAACGCATCGAGGTGTCTAAGCTCGACGGCAGCATGCGGTCCCTGCTTATCTGGCAAGGTCTCGATAAGCCAAGGGACATCGTTGTAGATCCGCAGGGTAAGAGGGCCGTTTGTAGGAGAAGCGATGTTGTAAGGAAATTCTTGTTTGGTAAATTTTGAAGAACACCGAGGGTTAAATGAAAGGAGGAAGGTTGTCGATGTTGATTATTCTGTCCCTAATCCCGATTATGATGTATTTGGTATTTATCATTATTATTTTTTATTATTATTGTTATTATTTTACAGCCTGCTGCCCAACCCAATTAATCTCCCCTTTTTTTCTCGTGGCATTCACATATCCCGTTCATTGCTCGTTGTTCCAGACGGCTACATGTTCTGGAGTGATTGGGGCAAGCACGCCAAGATCGAGCGAGCGGGCATGGACGGCTCTGAACGCATAACGCTGATCGACTCTAACCTGATGTGGCCCAACGGCCTGGCCATCGACTATGAACGCCGACTCCTCTACTGGCTGGACGCCTCGCTCAACAATATCGAGATGGCCGCCATGGATGGCACCAACAGGAAGATCCTCATAAGTAAGACTGTTGTTATTATAATCCATACGTATATAATATAATTCTATATGTATGTTTATCATTATATAGATGTATACATAGGCATACAAGCAGTAAACTTTCGGTATAGCAGCAAAATATACAGTCAATTTTGTATCTTTTTTGCAGAGGGCAACCTGACACACCCCTTCGGCCTGACGCTGTGGAACGACCTGGTGTTCTGGTCAGACTGGGACACCAAGAGCATCTACGTCGCCAACAAGCACAACGGGGGAAACAGACGTGTGGTCATGTAAGCTTTGACTCTTGTTAGCTTGATCTGGAAGTAGATGAACAGGCTGAAAAAAGTAAAGAAGATAAAAGAACAAAAAAAATCTCCTATGTGTAGGTTTTGATTCCTTCTTCAAGTTCCTGTTTCCGATGATAACTGGTGGGGCATTTTTCACCGTTACAGAGACGGGTTAAAGGGACTCATGGATGTCCGAGTGTTCCAGCGGAAGCAGACAAAAAGAGAAACAGCTTGCAGCACAAATAACGGAGGGTGTTCACACTTATGCTTGCTCAGGCCGAAGGGAGTGTCCTGTGCTTGTCCCACTGGTATATTGCTCAAGGTAAATGAGTCTCACACTACCCTCAGTTTTGTAAATCCACATTTTTGCACAATTTGTATCCATAATACTACACTTTTTTCGATCATACACTCCTTGACATTTCCAGGGGCAATACAATGCTGCATGTTTCTGTCCTCTTTCCAGAGTGATAAGCTCACGTGCCGGCGTCGACCTCTTCAGTCGCTGTTGATCGCAGACCAAGAAAATATCCGTCAGATTTCCCTAGACATGCCTTACATGGTGGACGTCGTGTTGCCTATGCCTCACCACCAAATCGTAGTCGCCCTCGACGCCGACTCCGTCACAGGTGCGTTACGTCACACCGATCTCGAGTACAAAGCCAAAAGTGATGCTCATCTTGGGTTGTTGATTTTTGAGAAGACTACTCTCGTATGAAAGTTGAAAACCCATAATTCCTCCACTAACGCATATTAAACTATTCTAGTACGAGAGCAAAAACATACAATTCCTCCACCAGCGCATATTAACAACAAACAGAAAAAACTAAAACGGAATAATTCACCATCGTAACCTACCTTTCTCCCAGGTGACATCTACCTCGCCGACAACGCCGAGCACGTGATCCGCCGCTGTTCCGCCGACGGTACCAACAACCACGTCATTATATCAGCGGCTATTAACACGGTGGAAGGCATTGCGGTGGATACAACGGGCAGGAAGGTAATTGGGTATTAAGACAACCCTGCCTAACTTGGATGAACAGTATGTGTAGTATGTGTATGGATGCATTATAGCTGTGGACCACAAGGTCGTTCCGTTATGTAAGCATTAGGAAATTAGGTTTTTGTATGACTTTCTTTTCAAACGTAAGGGCTGTATATTGTCTATTTGACTCTCAGTTCCTTTTAATCTGTATTTTAATGGTTTATATGGGATGTGAGTTTTGCTTTTTATCCCGAAATCATTTTTCAATACTCATATTTCCTCAAAAAGAAGAAGAGTAGAGGAATCTTAAAATGACGAAGGTTTCCTGATAAAACCTCATGACAAGGGATACACATTAAGGAGTTAGTAAATACTAAAATGTACCCTGTATATCTGCAGACTCGTGTTCATTAGATATTACATGCATGAATAATAAATATTTTCCTGTCACGGAGTTGTAAAGAAAAAAAAAAATACTAAGCAATGATTTGTTACATGTTTGTGTATTATGAATTCATAAAATGACAACAAAAAATAACGTCTCCGTAACAAGAGTCTGACAAACGAATACACAATTTGAACCCTTTATCAGAATAAATCCCCAGACCCAATCTATTAACATTCCACGAGCACCAGAATATAAAGAATCCAACCCCCCATTAAACGTTCTCAAACACAAGAAGACCTTAACCATAGGACCAACCCTCTACCCTCTACCTCGTTCCGCAGTTGTACTGGACTGACCTGATGCGCAAGTCAGTGGAGGTGAGCGAGCTGGACGGCAGTAACCGACGGGTCTTGTTCACTGACCTGCACAAACCCCGTGGTATCGTGACCCATTACCCGAGTGGCAAGCTGTTCTGGGCGGACTGGGGCCTGCCGGGGATCGAGGTGTCAGACATGGATGGGAACGAACGGTGGGTCGAAGTGGTTTATTGTTTTTGTACTGGTTGGTCGTAGTAGAAACTCTTTAGAAAAGAGTAGGTTGAAGTTGGGAGAATGACGTAGAGAGGTTGAACTAGAGAGGATAAAGATTCATGATGAATATTTGGATGGATAGGGAATGGGATGGGGGTAATAGTAAGTCAGGACACTCGCATGGTCAGATACCCTTACATCTTTCTATATGACGTTGTGCAGGATTTGTAAAAGGATAGAGAAAATACTGCGATGCATAAATACTGAAACTATAGTAAAGGCTTTCTGTATCTAACATGTCATGAAATCCACAGGAAAATATTCATCTCCAGCAACATCGCGTGGCCAAATGGACTTACTGTGGACTGGAGTAAAAGAGAGCTCTTTTGGGCAGACGCCAAGACTAATGCTATTGAGGCCATCGGTATAGACGGTAGAAATAGGCGGACAGTTATTAGAGGTAAGTGAGGAAACGATTTGGAACCACTAACATATACGCATATGCTCTCTCTTCTCTCTTTCTGCTCTCTCTCTCTCTCTCTTTCTCTTTCTCTCTCTCTCTCTCTCTCTCTCTCTCTCTCTCTCTCTCTCTTTCTCTCTCTATCTCTCTCCTCTCTCTTTTCCTTCTCTCTCCTCTCTCTTTTCCTTCTCTAAGTGAGGAAACGATTTGGAACCATTAACATATACGCATATGTTCTCTCTTCTCTCTGCTCTCTCTCTCTCTCTTTCTCTCTCTCTCTCTCTCTCTCTCTCTCTCTCTCTCTCACTCACACACACACACACACACACACACACACACACACACACACACACACACAAACACCCACGCAAACACACACACACTACGTTACAATCGGACTTCTAAATCCAATGTAGAGACTGACCATGCCCCACACCCCACGCTTGTTTCAGATGCCCCTCATCCATACGGCGTGACTCTACTCGGGAGCTTCGTGTATTGGACCGACTGGGAGACCAAATCCGTGAACCGCACACGCAAGAACGGAACAAGCTATAACACTACCATTAGAGCGGGTCTACCAGCCGTCATGGATATCAAAGCACTGCCGGTAATGTCCCCTACGAGTTATTATTTTTTTCTTTCTTTTATTGGGGGGATGGGGGGTCTACGTGTGGCATGGTCTTAGGGTTTCGGAATGAAATAGATCCTACAGGACTGAAATTAGTATGGATTCGTGTGATGTATAGGACTTTAATGGCTTCTTCTGTGTACAGGGTCCACCAGTTGTCAAGAATGAATGTGGAAATGATAACGGCAAATGTTCTCACCTTTGTCTGCGAAACTCGGAAGGCATCTCTTGTGCTTGCCCGACTGGTCTTACCGTGAAGGTATGTGCTTTGTGCTCTGGTTAAGCCATCAAGAGAATACAGACATATTGATGTGTTTTACAGTACTTCCCTTCGTTGATCTACTTGCAGTTTGTTCAACATGGATTCCACGCGACGTATATATATATATATATATATATATATATATATATATATATATATATATATATGTATGTACACACACACACACACACACACACACACACACACACAGATACATATATATACATATATTCTCTCTCTTTCAAGGATAACCACCGCTGCGTTGACGAACCCTCGAACTACTTAATCTTCGCTGGCCTGAGGACGATTGGAAGGATCTCCCTCGACACTGAGCCCCTGTGGGACGTGCCCCTCGACGTGCCCCACATCCACCACCCCGTCATCGTTGACTATTACCAGAGGGAGGATATCCTTTTCTTTACGGATCTCAAATTCGATTCCATCCGGTTAGTTTGGTTTCCCTTCACCTGGGGAGGAGGAGGCTTGGGGGCTTAGGTTTCTCTGTCTTTCTTATTTTTTTTCTGTTTCTTTCCTTCTCTCTTTCGCTTTTTCTTTCTCTCTCTTTTTTTTTCCTTTTCTCTTTCGCTTTTTCTTTCTCTCTTTTTTTTTCCTTTTCTCTTTCGCTTTTTCTTTCTCTCTCTTTATCTCTTTCTCTTTCTCTCTCTCATTCTGACTCTAACTCTCACTCACTCTGACTCTAACCCTCACTCACTCTGACTCTAACTCTCACTCACTCTGACACTCTCTCTCTCTCTCTCTTTCTCTTTCTCTCTCTCTCTCATTTACACCTAAACATGCATCCCCTCTCTCTCTCTCAGTAACAAGTTCATTAAGTCTTATGGATGATAAGACTGTATAGTCACAATTCACAGGGAAATGAATGCCTTTTTAATACTTATGCATCTGTATGTATATTATTATACCTTAACAACGTAATGTTTCATCCCAAATAGTGCGGTAACTCGTATTATATATCTTAATGTACCTTAACCCGACCAGTGTTAAGGTATTGTCTATCTTAATGTATCTTAATATACCTTAACGACACAGTGTTTTTTCCCGATCAGTGCGGTGTCGTTGAAGAACCTCACGCACCCGTGGACTGTGCTGTCGGAGGGCCTCAACACACCCGACGGTCTCTCGGTGGACTGGATCGCAGGGAATCTGTACTGGAATGACGCCGGCCGGAAGGTGATCGAGGTGGCTAAGGTGGACGGCTCCTGCCGAAAGATCATCGTTAGCACAGACCTAGTGGAGCCTCGCGCCATTGCGGTCTTCCCAGAGGAAGGGTTAGTAGAAGATCTGTCTGTTTGTCTGTCTCTAACTCACACACACTCTCTCACGCACGCACGCACACACACACACACACACACACACACACACACACACACACACACACACACACACACACACACACACTCACGCACACGCACACACACATACATATTGTGTGTGTGTGTGTGTATATATGTATACATGTAGGTGTGTATTTTGTGACTGGTTTTACAAAAAAAAAAAATAATGATTATTCTTCGTATGTTTCGCCCCACGGATATGGAGGATTCATAGATCTTTCCACACGCCTTCGTTTCAGCTTACTGTTCTGGACGGACTGGGGTAACAAGTCCAAGATCGAGCGCTCGTTCCTGGACGGCACGGGGCGCAAGATCCTCATCGACCAAGAGATCGGCTGGCCAAATGGACTCACGATCGACTACGACACGAAGCGCATCTACTGGAACGACGCCCTGAAGGACACCATCAAATCCTCCGACCTTGATGGCCAAAACGAAGTCCTTTTGGTGCCGAAAGTCGTCCATCCTTTCGGTCTGACGCTGGTAGGAACGGCCTTGTCTCCTTTACTATCCTTGCCCTTTCAAACGAAGACATCAAATGTTTATCTGATGTTAGGCATTTTATAATAGTATAATTTTGTCACCACATATATATACATATACAGCCTGTTGGTGATTTTTTTTCAGGTCTACAGCCTGTTGTGTGTAGGTTTTAGAAATCATCCAACAATGTAGCTTGGGTATATTATTAACACTTTCCCTCAGATATACAGACAGCGCAAGTGTAACGTTTTCGAGTATTATGATTATACGTTAACCGGTAATATACTCCAACAGATGCACAGAAACTTAATACTCTTAACACACCCTCCATGTCGCAGCTCAAACCAAAACACCACAAGAATCTTCGTGTATAATACCACTGAAACCGCTTTACAACATTTCCATTCAGCAAACTACTTCCATCTCACAGATCTCCACATCAGTTGATTACGATGCTATCTATTCTCCCATCTATTTTTTTTTCTTAAATAAACATTTTCCTTTAACGTTTCAGCTCGGCGACTACATCTACTGGACAGACTGGGATCAAATGACGATTGAACGAGCTAACAAGTCGAGCGGCAGTAATCGGCAGGTTATCCGGACTGACATCGAGGTGAAGCCGTTAACCTTGTGTTCATTGTTGTTGCTGCTGCTGTTGTTGCTGTTGTTGTTTTTCCATTGATTATTGTTGTGTTTTCTCTTGATTATTATTGCTGTTGTTTTTCCTTTGATTATTGATGTTATTATTATCATTATCATTTTGCGTTTATTTTTTGTCATTCGCATTATTATTGTTATTATTATCACCTTTATTATTAATAATGTTATCATTATCACCATTATATTTAATAATATTATCACCATTATTATTAATAATGTTCTTATTATTGTTATTGTTATTATTGCTATGATTATTATTAAATTTTTTATCACTGCTATTATTACTGTCATTATCAGCTATCATTGTTAATGTTTTTGTTGTTATTGTTATTGCCATTGTAACTGTTCTATTTGCCACAGGTTTAATCAGTACTAAGATTCTGTCATTATTTTGCTCACACGATAAAATTATTATTATTAATATCATAAAGCTTAATCGGTATTCTAAAGATCCTGAGAATTATACAGGTAATGATGAAACAGCACACTAATTAACAGGTGGGCCTGGGTACGCACATAACTTACAATATTAAATAGACATAACATGGATTACATTAACGTGTAGTGAAGCATGGCTTCCTTATCTTGGTTATATTTGTTAATGAATTCTTTATACGGAAAATATTTGTGGATTTTTTAATGTAAACAAACGGAAGTTAAATAGTTATGTTTAATTTAAGAATCCGCCATTAGAATATGTAAACAAGACCCATGACATAATTATACCCAAAGCCACGATACGATGATACGTAATGGCATAAAAATAATAATAATACACCAAAGCAATTCACCGAACTTTATTATATATTTAATGGATTATATATCTACACTGTATCAGTACTGTCTCACGCCCTTCACAATCATTAAGGAACATACACAAGAGAACTTCACAGAACACCTTTTTCTATTTAATGGATTATATTTCTACCACTGTATCGGTACTGTCTCACGCCTTATCCTTCCTCAGGGCGTGATGGAGGTCAAGGCAGTGAGCGGCAAGGGACAGACCGGCTGGAACGTCTGTGCGGATAGGAACGGCGGCTGTACACACCTCTGCCTTTACCATCCCGAGGGCGTCCGCTGCGCCTGCCCCGACCGCCCGGATGCCAGGAGATGCTCAGACCGTAAGATGAAGGCTATTCGGATGTAGCTTGTGGTTTAGTGTATCTTCGAAGTCCTGGTCCTGTTGAGCTGGAATTTAGAATGGGGATATTCTTTCTTTTTCTGTCTGTCTGTCTGTCTCTCTGTCTCTCTCTCTGTCTCTCTCTCTCTCTCTCTCTCTCTCTGTCTCTCTCTCTCTCTCTCTCTCTCTCTCTCTCTCTCTCTCTCTCTCTCTCTCTCTCTCTCTCTCTCCCTTTCTGTCTCTTTCTGTCTGTCTGTCTGTCTGTCTGTCTCTGTCTCTGTCTCTCTCTCTCTCTCTCTCTCTTTCTTTCTTTATCTATCTATATATCTATCTCTATCTCTGTCTCTGTCTCTCTGTCTGTCTGTCTGTCTGTCTGTCTGTCTGTCTCTCTCTCTCTCTCTCTCTCTCTCTCTCTTCTCTCTCTCTCTCTCTCTCTCTCTCTCTCTCTCTCTCTCTCTCTCTCTCTCTCTGCCTGTCTGTTTACCCTAGTATCTATCTGTTTATCGACCTGTCTACCGTCAGCCTCGCCTTGCCCTAACGCCCGCTCCCTCGGCAGGTCCTGTGATCAAGGTGACCCCGACGGGGAGTCCGCATCACGCCATGTTCAGCACGACGATGGCGTCGGCCAAGAAGGGTCCCCGCGGCGACCCCCCCGGCCTGATCCCGCTGCTGGTGGCGCTGGTGGTGGTGGCGATCCTTGCCGTGGCGTCCATGGTGGCGGTGGTGGTGTGGTGGAAGTACAAGGAGAAGACCAAGATGGTGGAGGGGCCCAACGGCGGCGCCCTCACCTACACCAACCCCACCTACAGCGCCTCCAACTCCGATGTCAACACCGACCGCAAGCCCTTCACCTGGCGGCGCCTCCACCACGATGCCAACCACCAGGTGAGTTTCGCAGTAGCACTGAATGCCTTTTGAGGATTTCATTTTGACGCCTTAGTGACTACGAGGCCAGTCGGAGGTGAGAGCCAGTGTTTTAAAAGGAATTCGCTTTCCTTTCCTTCAGGGACGGATGTTCGACGAGAAGGGCGAGGTGGCGGCTCTGATCAGCGAGGGAAGCAGCGTGGAGCACGAGAGCCCCCCGCCCACACCACCCACCAGGACTGATACTGTCACATAATCTGCCCCTTCGCCCCAACGCCAGCCAGTAATACCCTTCCTACCTCCCTCTGAGTCCTCCCAGATCTGCATCATCCCTCCAAGCACAGCACGGACCCTGTCAGTACCTGCCTCACTACCTTTCCTCCGACGGTTATGACTTCGCCCTTACTAGTCCCCTTCGTCCCCACACATTTACTGGCTTACACCTTGTTACTAGTGCCCGAGGCCCTCTGAGACATTCCTTCCCCTCCGCCCTCCCCTCCTCGTGCTGGCCTGCCCTCTACCACCCCAGCAATTCATCTCGGTCAGCACATCACGCCGCCCGCACCCCCGCACAACGCCCTCTCATCACCCTCCCACAGTCACATGCTCAAGGCCCCCGTGAGTGTCACTTGGTCACTTTTTGCACCTCTGCCGGCCAGGAGCAAGACCTCTGCCACCCAACTATGTCCCCACTGCCCCAACACCACCACCTGTTGCTGACACCCACACTGTTTTAGCAAATGTTGACCTCCTGTTATCTCGCCGCCAAATATTCTAAAGGATAACCTAGAGACAAGACCGACTACTGGCCCATCAGCGAGGTCGACTGGCCTCCGAAAAGCGTCGACACCAGGGGAGGCTTCATCGACACGTTGACTCAGTCCCAAGCACCACCCACACCCAACCTACCTCGAAGTCCCTCCAGTTGCGCCAAGACACACCGCTACCAAACACGCCACTGTACACCTCCACTATCACGGACATGCCCCACACACTCCCAGCTACATCAGGTCATCGACGGACGCCACACACAGACGGCCACACTCGAACGATGAAGGGATCTTTAGCACCGTAGCCGCTCTGGTGGCCGGGCGCACCTTTCCTACCTGGATCTGAGCTCTACTGGCACGAGACTACGACAGAACTTGTGGTGGATGATGGTGAAGCACCTTTTTGTGAGCGCCCTCGTCCCCCCTCCCCCCTTTCCATGTGGTGTGCCAAGGCCGTCACCCGGTGTTGAGTGATGAAATGTACATCCCTGTCCGTTGTCATGGATGGCGCAAGAAACTGTCCCAGAATTCATAACCTCAATCACATTATCAACAAAGCCTGATCCAACCAGCGCCTGATTTATCATGCTCCTATTTTAGGCCTGGTGACTTCTTCTCGGCAGCTACTGGGCTGGTGGTGAGGCGCCCCACGACGGCGAGCGGATGTGTAGGACACTCGGGGTGACTTGGGGATCGGGGAGCCGGGACGCCGAAGGGCCAAGAACGGACAATGCCAAGGACGCAGACCAAAAGAATAGCAAAAGATGGACGAGTTTTTCTGTTGCGGAATCTAAGCCAAAAATCCTAACGCTTGTAAATGAACGTGCACTAAAAGGTGGAACGAGAATTGTGACAGACAATAACTGAAAACGAAGAAAAGAGGTTTGTTGATCAAAAAAAAAAATAAAAATAAAAAAGAATCGTCGCGGGGAATGTGTTCGATGGGAGCCTCCCCCTAGGGATCACGCCTGGTTCATCCCGTTGATCTTATCATTTGTGCTGTATGTCTTCACTTCATTTAAGTCAATTCGTAGTGTTCTCGATATACTTATATAAGTAGATTTATAATCACCTTTCTTTTCCAACTTATCTCAACAGGATCCATGACTGCTGTTGGAAAAGTATCATATTTTTCAAGACTGGCGAATTCCTCGTTGGTCTTTCGAAAAGAGAAATTTATTTATACTGTAGCAAATATTTCAGTGAATACCCAACTTGGCAAGATGTTCTTTATGGTATTCTTTATTGTCTCATATGGACTTTCTGCACCAAGATAATACTTTTTTTTTTTTTTTACAACAAGGTCTTTGATACCGTGGGCTCAAATTTTACGTGATCATTTTATAGTCAATAGTATATGCCAATTCATGACGACTTCCTAGTATCGTTGACAAGGCTGCCATAATAATTAGAGATAGCAGTTGAATTTTAAAAGAAAGAAAGAACCTCAGCATTAGTGCCAAAGTCAACTCTTAGAATAATTTTGAATGAGTATATTCTGCTGCAGTCATATATATTTTTTATTATATATATATATATATACGTACATACGACGTAGAGATAAACAAATACCTTTTTTTTAATTTGAAAAAAGAGAAAGATAAGACTTTAAATATCTTTTTACGAAATTCGATATCAAAATAACATACGGATAGTTCACCAGCTGTTCTAGGTCTTGGGATTTTGTCAAGAAAGTCCCCCCCCCCCCCCCCAAGTTGAACATTCAATCTTGGAGAGCGATGACTCTTTTGCAACAGCTATGCCAGACTCCGCCAGATTGCAAATTCCCCCCCTCGAGATCTGTTGTCTCACCCCCCCCCCTCGAAATTTGCCCTCTCACCCCCCCCCCCCCCCCGAGAGATTTACCCTCTCACCCCCCCCCCCCTCGAGATCTACCTTATAACCCCCCCCCCCCCACCTTCGAGATTTACCCTCTCACCTCCCCCCCTCGAGATCTGCCCTCTTACCCCCCCCCCCCCCGCATAAACCCTCTCTACTTGACTTTCCTTATATTATGTATTTCATTTATTTCTTACATTTCAGTTTTTTACTCATATTCATATTAATGGTGCTGATTTCAGTGTTATTATTATGATTACGGAGAAAGTAATGAAAATGCGTACTCGGCGGCCCTGTATGGCTTTCAGATTTTCAGCTTTAAAAGACAAAAGTAGAAGAAATATAAAAATATATATATATATATATATATATATATATATATATATATATATATATATATATATATATGTATATCAGCCGTTTGTCGGTTGTGATCGGTTTTAATATATATCTACGCGGGTGTATTTTGTTTGTTTGTTTGTGTGTGTCTTTTTTTTTGTGCTTCCATGACTGTCTATTCACGATTTTTATTTCTATCTTTTCTTTTTTTTCATTTCATCCCATTTGTATACATATCAAAGACTTAAAAATTCAAATGAATAATGAAACTGGTATTTATCAAAGCGCAGTTAAATGTACCTGTGATAAGTACCGACAGTAATTCATAAATAGACATTCATTCTTTAAGCCGTAAACTTTACATTCCGAAGTGAGGGTTGATACAGAATAATAACAATAATAAAAAAAATCCCTCACACCCCCCCAAAAAAAAAAAAAATAATGATAAATAAAAATCCAATTCATTCTCCCTACGATAGACTATAAGAGTATATGATAAACAGAACAATTATTTTAACCTGGCGAAGTCTGTGCAAGCTGTTATCAAATAACACCGTTTTCCTGTCAGTCTCACATTTTCTAGGACGCTTTGCTGACTACGGAGGTCACCGAAACAACTCGTTATTGGTTGGCCTCTTATTACAGAACCCGGTGATGATATTTTCTTTAACGAGGTTGTGATGCGACGGTCGGTCTTTACAACCGTAACACTGGAGGACTTGGCTCAGGGTTATAGAAAGTGTGTGACTGTCTGTTGAAGTGTGGGTGATAGTGTACATCTTCTTGTATTGTTGCGGCGGAGGAGGTAATTACAATTCAAGACGCTTATCATGCCTAATCATAAGGACTAATATTGTACTATCTGTTCGTTGATGAGATAGATCTTATATATATATAACCTTGGTGTCCTGCAAATAAAGGATATTTTCCATGTATATCGTTGTAATGTCATATATTTGTAAGCATTAATACGTTATTGCGTGAGCTCTTTGAGAACGGGAACGGCTTATGTGGAGAGAGCTTGGCCGCGGTGCCTCGCCCTCATAAGGTCTCGGAAACAATCGGACAAAAAAAAATGACATAACCAGCTGTGATACAAACAAACTTTCCTCCTGTTGGATAGAAAGCCTAATAACGTCGATGAAACATAATAAATAAATAAATACATAGAAAATCATACTCCTTAGATTTTCATGATCAAAGCATGCTTATATACTGCATGCTTGATTCTCTTGCAATACACGAATGCGCGTAAATTTGCGTTTCGACAAGATATATAAACCTGGATCTCCTCCCCCTCACCCCCACGCCCCCCTCCCACCCTCAGTTTGGCCGTACCTGCTAGAGGGTTGATGCTGCAGACACCGCCTCAAGCTCTATCCACAAGGCTGACCCGTCAATGGTCGATGAAACCATGATTTCCGTCTACTGTACATATTGTTCCTGTATGTACTCAAACGAGGATTTGCGATCAACCTCTTGGCCCGGATGTTCATTCATATAATTCCCTCTCATCAAGGTTCCTCGGCATTATAGTCGGGGTCCTCAGTAACTCCGGCTTTTGCGTTTGTTTTCTTTATAAGTCGAAGTTCTCGGGGGTCTCTGGTCACAGCAGGCAGTGCCAGGGACCGCAGCATCGGCTAGTGAAGGTGTTTCTCTCCCGCTCTCGGAGAGAGCTTGGCCGCGGTGCCTCGCCCTCATAAGGTCTCGGAAACAATCGGACAAAAAAAAATGACATAACCAGCTGTGATACAAACAAACTTTCCTCCTGTTGGATAGAAAGCCTAATAACGTCGATGAAACATAATAAATAAATAAATACATAGAAAATCATGCTCCTTAGATTTTCATGATCAAAGCATGCTTGTATACTGCATGCTTGATTCTCTTGCAATACACGAATGCGCGTAAAATTGCGTTTCGACAAGATATATAAACCTGGATCTCCTCCCCCTCACCCCCACGCCCCCCTCCCACCCTCAGTTTGGCCGTACCTGCTAGAGGGTTGATGCTGCAGACACCGCCTCAAGCTCTATCCACAAGGCTGACCCGTCAATGGTCGATGAAACCATGATTTCCGTCTACTGTACATATTGTTCCTGTATGTACTCAAACGAGGATTTGCGATCAACCTCTTGGCCCGGATGTTCATTCATATAATTCCCTCTCATCAAGGTTCCTCGGCATTATAGTCGGGGTCCTCAGTAACTCCGGCTTTTGCGTTTGTTTTCTTTATGAGTCGAAGTTCTCGGGGTCTCTGGTCACAGCAGGCAGTGCCAGGGACCGCAGCATCGGCTAGTGAAGGTGTTTCTCTCCCGCTCTCTGTCTGTCTGTCTGTCTGTTTCTCTCGCTTTCTCTCTCTCTCTCTCTCTCTCTTCTCTCTCTCTCTCTCTCTCTCTCTCTCTCTCTCTCTCTCTCTATATATATATATATATATATATATATATATATTTGTGTGTGTGTGTGTGTGTATATGTGTGTGTATGTGTGTGTGTGTGTGTGTGTG